GTGTACTGCATAGTGAAACCCTGTTTCAAAATGACATCAATAAGAATTTGGGAAAGGAAGAACCTTCCTAGAAGCAAGGCATTCACTCAAGTTTGTTGAAATTTCAGGGTGTTCCTGGAGTCCTCTCTTTAGGACCTGTGCATCTTGTATTAAAAAAAACAACAACACTATCAAAAAAAAAAAATCATTTTTCTATTTAACTTTTAGTAATGACTATTTTTTACTGGACTAAGACCTGATTAATGTTTAAGAAGTTTTATCAGAATGAAACCTTATGAATTCAGACTTGACAGATTGACATAGTTCAAATGTATATTTTATTTGAGGTTTGTTTCCTTGTTTTTGTCTTGCTTTTTTGAGGCAGGGTCTCGTTATGTAGCTCAGGCTGGCACTGAACTCACTACATACTCCATTCTGGCCTTGAACTTGTGGTGAGCCTCCTGTCCCAGCCTCCCCCGTGCAGGGATTACAGGTGTGCTCCACCACACCCAGTTTTGTTGGCTGGCACAGTGCCGGACTGGCATGGCATGCAGTACTGGGGATTGAACCCAGGTCCTTGCTCTTGCCAGGCAGGTGCTTAGACTGTGGAGCTGTCTGTCCAGCCCCAAGCCCCAAAACTCTTGATGGAAACTTTTGTAAGTGTACCCTTAGTTTCTAGATTTGTAAAATGAGGCTAGTGTTGCCACTTGTTACGTAAAATAGGAACTTGGAATTTAGAGTACAACTGTATCCATTTGTAAGCGCAGGAACCATGTGCATACAAGTGTGTGCGTGTGTTCACACTTGCTTACCTTCTGGATGCTTAGGATCACAAGCTCTGTGTTATGCCGCCTGGATCCTTCCATGTGGGAATTGGGTTCATCCATGGCACTGGGAGACCTGGGGTTGTCCTGGTGAGGGACAGGAGTTGGGTCCTCTGCATGTGCAGGGAGGAGACAGCTGGGGGCAGCAGTGGGACCCAGAGGCTATGTGTGAAGTAGTTCTTGCTTGCTGTTCAGAGGGACAGTGTGTGTCCAGCAGTGTGGCTGAGACACAAAAGGTCTGCGCAGGTTTAGCAGGTTTTGTCTCCAAACAGTTACAGTAGTAATTCACTGTCAGCTCTGTCCGTTGTGGCAGCAGATTGCCGTATGGCCTCTTGGGGTCGTTGGAGGATACAGAGAAGTAACCTCCACACTCCTGCACCTAGGCCAGAATCAGTGTTTGTTCCCTTGTTCTCAGTTTTTCATTATGACCCTCGCAAGCCCTTTCCTGTGTTCCTGGGACTCCTGGTCACTCGCTGCCATTTTTTCACTCATTTGCCAAATATGCATTGTCCAGGTGAGCTCACTAGCAGAGTGGGGGCATGGGGGCTACCAGGTACTTTTGGTTAGGACTGTTAGACACTGTCAGTAAGATGCGCTTTTTTCTTTCCTTTTTTTTTTTTTTTTCCAGACTGGTTTAGGCTGGCCTTGAACTCGCTTCAGAGCTCAGGCTGGCCTTGAACTCGATCCTCCTGCCTCAGCCTGTTGAGTGCTGAGATTACAGGTGTGCACCACCACACCAAGCCAAAATACACATTTTTATAATCCGTTTCACTTGTATTTTCAACATGAGGACTCTTTCTTTTGTCTCTTAGTTGACTGTTTAAGAAAAATTATAGGTATCAGTTTGCTAGATAGGGAACAAGAAGTGTAAGGATAGAAACCTCTGGGGCTGCACAGAAAATCAGAGTCACAGTGCGTAAACACAGACTGCAATTATGTGGTAGTGTCATAGCCAGTGGGAACATAAATGTCTAAAACATGGCTCTTTTGTCACTCAGAAAAAGGCTGGGATTGGTATGTGTGCGAAGGATTTCAGCACATACTTTATCAGCAAGCAGAAGCCCTGAAGACCCTCGGAGTAGCCCCAGAATTAAAGGTGAGCCCAGCAGTGGGTGGATGTGAGCTTTGCCTTTTGTTGTTGGAAGAGTAAGGTTGGGTGAGCAGCAGACAGCGCAGTGGGAACGTGGAAGGGTAGGCGTGTAGAAATTATTATCCTTTCTGTGATCTCTGATTTACTGTATGAAAAGAAGGGGACTCAACTCAGGGATCCTTAATGTCCTCTCCTCTGAAATCTAAGACTAGAAAGTGTTTCTTCGTGTTGCCCAGCTACCTGGCCTTGTGGTGAAAGATCTTTTTAAGGAGAAGCAGGTATGAGTACGCTTATGCACAGGCCTTAGAGATGGGACAGGAGCTTCTGCAGTCTCCTACAGGCACATCTGTGTGCTCTCACTCCCCTTCCACCTCAGGATGAAGTTTTACACAACTTTTGGAAGCGCTACCTGCAGAAGAGTAAGCAGGCATATTGTGCAAGCCCAGCCTACACCAGCAGAAGGAAGGCCGAGGTAGGTTGCAGGTCCAAAAGCAGGAGTGCAAGATGTGTAACGAGTGTGCAGATGGCTATGAGGAGGCAGGGACAGTGGTTGGCTCCCTGCTCTGCCTCCTCACTGAACGCTCAGGGCTGGGTGCTGAGTGTGCCTCACCTCTTGTCAGGGTGCTGGACAGAGGGTCGAGCCTTTGCATTTACTCCCTGCCATCTTTGCTTCATTCTCTTCTCAAGCAAGTCTTATCTCCTCAAAATAAGATCAAATTTCTTAGCCTGTGGAGCTGGGATCTTGGCTTCTGACTACAGTCAGCCCCTGAGGTAATAGCAGCTAAGGAGCCTTCCGGCTTTGCAGGAACAAGGACGCTCCGAGCACCCTTTTAACTACAGAGCCAGTGGTGGTGCAGGGACGCATACCCTGCTGGTCTCCTGCTGTAGACCTTCAGTGCTGCAGCAGCTCCAGGAAATGAGAAATCATTGAAGAGCAGGCTGGAAAGACTACATGATAGTGGAAGTAGTAAGTTGGAGAAGGGACGCTCAGGCAGGAGAACTGGTATTAGCCAGATACAGCAGAAATTCTGCAGGTAGGAAGAGGCCAGCAGCATTGTTGAGTCTTGATATTTGCATGGTTGCGTGCTGTCAGTAGTTCTTATTCTGGAAGTGCTACTGAGCGCTGTCAGGCAGCCCCTTCCAGAAGTGCAGGCCTCTCAGACCCAGGGGCCTGGTGGACACTTGCAGTCCACCTAAGTGGTTCTTCTCACTGCATTTATCATGATCAGGAATCATCTCACTTTGCAGATGGTAATTGTGTTAAGCCTCTGTGCAGCAATTTTATTGACACTCTTTTGCAAGCAGGTGTTGGATGGAAATGTCCCTCATTCAGACAGGGCGAGTGGGCCCGAGCTGCTCAGCGACACTGACTGGGCATCATCCTGCCTTGAAAGTGGTGCGGAGTCCCAGTCTGACGCCCCTGTGACAAAGCCCCTTGCTGCCCCGAGAGCACCACACTCAGGTAAAGAGGAGAAGTGAGTTGCTTCCTAGGGTGTTGAAGCCTGGCCTGCCTCGCAGTCGCTGAGTGCACCTCCCGAGGCCCAGGAAGGAGGAGTGGCCCGGTAAGGAGAGCCCAAGAGCAGCGAGGGCTTGGTGAAGTCTTCGCAGTCACAAAGGCACATCATAGGCCGGGCATTGTGACTTGGCAGGCTGAGGCAGGAGGAGCACTGTGAGTATGAGGCCAGCCTGGGTTATGTAGTGAGTTCAAGGCCAGCCTCAGCTATGTAGGGAGACACTGCCTTAAAAAACAAAACAGGGCTGGGGAGATGGCTCAGTAGAATAAGCGCTTCCCTGGCAAGCGCAAGGGCCTGAGTTCAATCCCCGGTTCCACCAGAAAAAAAAACAAAGCAGAGGGGCTGGGGAAATAGCTCAGTAGAATAACTGCTTGCCTGGCAAGCGCAGGGTCCTGAGTTCAATCCCCAGTACCACAAAGAAAAAAAACAAAAACAGAAAGGCACATCATTTGTCTCCAGAGAATGTTGTTGTGTGGTCTTTATGGGGAAATAAAGACAGCATTAAAAGGCCCAGAGAGGAGGTTAGCTCCAAAAAGATTGTGTATGTGTGGGCTCAGATTTTTTGAAGAATGTTACTGTACAAAACATTGTAGGTTTGGCCCATGATAAAATCAACATGAGGCAAAGGTGATAGGCCCAGTTTCTAAGCATAGACAGAAACAAGCTGAGCAAATTTTATGCTATTGTTTGTGTGACTGCTTTGTGATTCAGTTCTACAACTTAAAATAAATAAAGAAGCCAGTATGGCAGCACACGCTTGTCATTCCAGCACTTGGGAGGCTGAGGCAGAAGGATTGCTATGAGTTGGAGGCCAGCCTGGGCTCCAAAGCGAGTTCAAGATTAGCCTGGACAATATAGCGAGACCCTGTCTCAAACAAACAAATGGAAAACCGAGATAAGACGAAAATGTTTCATGTTCACTGCTGAAACCCTCAACTCTCCCTCTCAAACTCCATCCCACACCACTCCCCCGGGGCCAGCCTTCCACACCTCCTGCCTCTCCCCTGCAAAGCACTCGTGTTGTGGAGATGAGCTGAAGCCTAACCTTAAGCTTTCTTAAATGGTTGAGATTGTTCTTGGGGTGCTTCTTTGTTGTACAGCATAGTTATTTGGATCTCAGTCTTGCTTTGTTCCACAGAAGCAGCATCTGTCTGTTCTGGGTCACTTGATGGTGTCGAATACTCAGAGCGGAAGGAGAAGGGTGTCGTGAAGATGACAGTACCAGGAACACTCGCACTCTGCTACCTGTCATTGCTGTGGCAGAGAGAAGCAGTAACTCTCTCAGATCTGCTGAGGTGAGCCAGACTTACCATGTGGCAGCGCTCATGCCAGCTCTCTGCAAACTGCACAAACAGATGTGGATATTTTGTTGGTTTTTGCCTTTTTGAGACAGGGTCTATCTCGTCTGTAGTTCAAGCTGGCCTTGAACTCACTGGGTAGCCCAGGCTGGCCTCAGAATCCCAGGACCTTCCTGCCTCAGTCTCCCTAGGGCTGAGATAATAGGGAGGTATCACCACATCTGGCCCTGCCTTTGAATATTTTTAACTTTATAAGAGGGCCTAACATGACAAAGGGGCTGAAAGGTTGGAGTCACAGTTGAACTCTGAAGCTTAATTCTTCCTCACCTATTCCTCTCCTCAGTTTTTTTACTTATATGGAAGACATAATATTTACTTCATATGGGATATTGGGCAGTGAGTTATCTTACCTGCAGACAAAAATGACATTAAAGTGCTTGAGTAGGAATATTGAATTTTTTTTGTTTGCTTGTTTATTTGTTCGATTTTTGAGACAGAGTTTCACTGTGTAGTTCAGACTGGCCTTGAACTCACTATGTAGCTGGCCTTAAACTTACAGTGATCCTCTTGCCTTAGCCTCCCATGCTGGGGTCACAGTGTGCACCACTATGCCTAGCTTGAAGTATTAAATATTTTTTTAAGGGAGCTGAGAAGATAACTCAGAGGTATAAGCGCTAGGTTCCAAGTTTGATCCTTGGCCCCACATGCCATGCCAGCCCCAGAACTGTGGGAGTGCCAGGCCTGGCCCCAGATCCCGAGGCGCACCATCCCGGCCCAGATCCCTGGGCACCTGGAGCCAGCCGTGGTGGTACATGCTTATAATCCTAGCACTTGGGAGGTTGAGACCGGAGGATTGCTGCAAGTTCAAGACCAGCCTGGGGGCTACAAAAGTGAGCAAAAGGCCAGCCCAAAATGCATAGCGAGACCCTGTCTCAGAAAGATATGTATTTATTTTAAGAAAAGAGGAACCTCAACAAAATGGTTGCTAATAGTTGACAAAGTATACATTAGTGTTGAAAGAGCTAAGATGCAGGTTAAATGTGTTAGGAAACCTTGAAAATAAAACCATGAAAAGAAACTGCTGAAGAGGTAAGAGAAGGGTGGCAAGATTGCTCAGCAGACTAAGCGCCTGCTTCAGCAAGCCCAGGGACTGGGGTTCGATCCCTGGTACTGCAACCCCCAACATGGTGGCACACGCTTGTAATCCTAGTGCTGAGGAGGCTGAAAACAGGAGGATCACTGAGTCCAAGCTGCATAGTGAGATGTAT